TTTTTGGTCGGAGTCCCCCTTTAAAACAATAGGAAGCAGACATGAGCGGAATTCCTTATTCCTTATTCCCGGATTTTCAAAAAATTTCATTCCGCTCATGTCTGATAGGAAGGAGGCGACAGGCAACGAAACGCCGCCCTTTCCTCACTCCCATCTCTATTGCTTCCACAAAGGATGCAACCGTGGCCGATTGGAAGTGGGCGCGCGAGCAGCAATCTATGGAAGCCGGAGGTTCAGATCCCTCCTGTGTCTGTTAGCTTTTTCTTTAATTTCCTTCACGAATTTTCCGCGCCGCAGGGTTGCAAGCTTCTAAACCCCGCCCACTTTTCTGCGCACCGCAAAAAAAATGAGGAGAAAGTCAGTACATTGAGGCCTGGTACAAAAGGGTCTGTAACTCGGGATTGAATAAAGATTTTTCGCTGAAATTTTGGGAATAGACTTCTATCAGATGGGAGAAGACAATCCAAGAATAAAAACTGAGAAAAGTCTATTTTGAAAATGTTGTTATGGTGCCTACTTTTAGACGATTTTTACCAAAAATCTGATGTTTTAATGCCATTTTTCGACGAAAATCATGATTTTTGAGATCTAAATCGCATTTTTTTTTTGATTTTTGGGGTCAAATTTCCAGCATTTTCAGATGATTTACAGCTCAAATTTCATGATTTTTGGGTCATTCTTCACTGAAAACTATGATTTTTCAATCGAAATTCGCTGAAAAAGGGCCAAATTTTCTCAAAATCGCATTTTTTTTGGATTTTCGGGAGTCTTTTTTTCTCCAAATCTATCAATTTTGGGGTCAAATTTCCAGCATTTTCAGATGATTCTCAGCTCAAATTTGATGCTTTTTGGGCCATTTTTCACTGAAAATCATAATTTTCGACCGAAATTTGGGAGTTTTGAACATTTTAAGACAAAAATTATGATTTTTGGGTCCAATTTTCAGCATTTTCAGCTGATTTTCAGCTCAAATCTGACGTTTTTGGGTCAGTTTTTGACAAAAATCGTGATTTTTCAATCGAAATTCGCGAATTTTGAGCATTTTTTGACTAAAATCATGGATTTTCAGATGATTTTTAACTCAAATTTCTCCTATTTTCAGCTCAAAATCCTCAAATTCTCACCTCCTGATCCCGTCTCTTCCACGCCTCATCAACCTTCTTCAACCCCAACGCGACTCGTTTTTCCGACCACTTGGATGGCTGTCCAGAAGACGTCGTCGAATCCGCTCCATTCTCCTCCGCCTTCTTCACAAATCGATCGATGAGGCCTTGAGATCCCAAAGCTCCGCCCCCAATCGATTTCCTGACCGCTTTTTCCGCTTTTTTCTTCAATTTATCGTCTTTTTCTGCCTGTTTTTTCGCCTTCTCCTCCTCTTTTTTCCTCAATTTCTCCTCTTTTTCCTTCTCCTTCTTCTCCAACTTCTCCTTTTCCTTTGCCTCCTTCTCCTTCTTCTTTTCCATTTGACGACGACTTGCCGAGGCGGCTGGACCACCGGAGGGACGGACGCGGAGCTGAAAAATTAGGATTTCATTGATTCTGGCTCGTTTTCAGACGCTTTTAAGTCTAATGTCAGCTATTTTCTGCTCATTTTAGGTCGAAAATACCCGATTTCTGGCTCAAAGTGAGCTAAAAAACTTCGAATTTGTTGAAAATCGATGAAATTTGGGTCATTTTCAGCCATTTTCAGAAAATTTAGAGTCAAATTTTGGTATTAAGAGGTCATTTTCAGCCAAATTTCGTCATTTTTGACTGAAAATGGGTCTTAAATATGCCGCCAAAATCGATGGAAACTGGCTCATTTTAAGCCGATTTTTAGTCAGATTTCAGTATTTTCAGCTCAGGGTCATTTTCAGCTAATTTTGAGTCAAATTATGGCATTTTTGGAGCTTTTTTTCAACAGAAATATGTCATTTTTAGCTTAGAATTGGCTTAAAATGAGCTGAAATCGGGTCGAAATCGGCTTGCAATGAGCTCAAAACGAGCCAAAATCCATCGAATTTCAGCGATTCTGGCTCGTTTTCTGCCGATTTTAAGCCGGTTTTCAGCTTTTTCAGCTCATTTTGGAGTCATTTTTCAGCGGAAAATAAGCTGAAATCGGTCAAATTTGGCCGAAATTGGCTCAAAATTGACCTAAATTGACTGAAAGACCTCCAAATTAGTAGAATATCGATGGAATTTGGGTCATTTTCAGCCAAAATTTCAGATTTTCAGCTAATTTCGGGTCAAAATTTGGTATTTTGGGGTCATTAACAGCCAAAATATGTCATTTTTGGCTAAAAATGAGCTGAAATCTGACTCATTTTCAGCCGATTTTCAGTCAAATTTCAGATTTTCAGCTTATTTTAGGTCGAAATATGACATTTTTGGAGCCTTTTCAGTCAAAATTCGTGATTTTTGGCTTAAAATGAGCTTAAATCTGCCTCATTTTGCCATTTGGGGTCATTTTCAGCTCATTTTGGGTCAAAATATGGACATTAGAGGGTCATTTACAGCCAAATTATGTCATTTCTTGGGTCAAAATGAGCTGAAATCGGTCAAAATTGGCTCAAAATCGACTAAAATTGGCTGAAACCCCAACTAAAATCCATCGAATTTCAGCGATTTTGGCTCATTTTTAGCCAATTTTCAGCTTTTTCAGCTCATTTTGGGTCAAATTTTAGCATTTTTGGAGTTTTATTCAGTCGAAATTCGTGATTTTAGGGCTGAAAATGAGCTGAAATCGGTCAAAATTCCCTCAAAACAAGCCGAAATCCATCAAATTTCATCAATTCTGGCTCGTTTTCAGCCGATTTTAAGCCAATTTTCAGCTATTTCAGCTCATTTTGGGTCAAATTTTAGCATTTTTGTATTTTTGACTTAAAATCCATCGATTCTGGCCCATTTTCAGCTATTTTCCATCGCTTACCGGCGTATTCAAGCCGATCTCCTGCTCCTCTTCCTCCTCCTCCCCATCCGACTTCTTATCTTCCTCCTGGATTACTGTAGAAGCTGATGACGTGGCTGCCTGCGCCTTTCGATTCGCCGACGAGAAGATGGGCGCGAACTTCTTGGTCTCCCGAATCGGACACTCTTTTAGAAGGGCATCTTTCACTTTCCACACCTTCTCATTCTCGTGAATCACGTCTTCTAGGGTCGCTTGTTGGATTTCCTCAAGGGATAGGCCCTTTTTTCGTCTGGAAATGTTGGATTTTTAGGGGTGAAATTGGCTGAAAATCAGCCTTTCAGGGGTAAAATGGACTAGGTTTCAGGGGTCAAAAAGCCTGAAAACCCCCAAATTTGTAGCTGAACATGAGCTAGAAATAGCTTTTCAGGGGTAAAATTGGTGGAATATCTTGATTTTTGGTGTCAAACATACTTCAAAAATCCGAATTTTCAGCTTGAAATGTCAGTAAAATAGACGTTTCCAGGCGAAAAGTCCTCTAAAATCCACATTTTTTGAGCTGAAACCTCAAAAATCTGCTTTTCCAGCTCGAAATCAGCTAAAAGATAGCTTTTTAGGGGGTAAAAGGGACTAAAATTCTAGGTTTTCGAGCTCAAAATACTTCAAAAATCTGGATTTTCAGCTTAAAATTGACCTAAAAATCATGTTTCCAGGTGAAAAATCATCAATAATCTTTATTTTTGGAGCTAGAAACCTCAAAAATCTGGATTTTCAGCTCGCAATGAGCTCAAAAAATAGCTTTTCAGGGGTAAAATTAGTGGATTATCTCGATTTTTGGGGTCAAACATACTCCAAAAATCTGGATTTTCAGCTTAAAATTGGCCTAAAAATCAGGTTTCCAGGTGAAAAGTCCTATAAAATCCTCAAAAATCTAAATTTTCAGCTCGAAATTTTTCAAAAAAAGGGGTCAATTCGGCTCGAAATTCCTGAAGAAATCTCATTTCTAGGGTCCAAATCGTCAATTCTAGATCGAAAACCACATTTTTGGCATAAAAACCTCTCCAAAAACCGCAATTTACACTGAAAATAAGCCAAAAATCAGGTTTTTCAAATGAAAAATACTCTAAAATTCATATTTTTGGGGCTAAATACCACCAAAATCTCATTTTCAGGGGCAAAACCTACTGGAAACCTCACTTTTCAGAATGGAGTTTCTCGGAAAATGGGTCAATTTGGCTCGAAATTCTTGTTTTTAGAAGCAAAATCCCCCTTTTTTGGCCTCAAAATCCCCCAATTTACACTTAAAATGAGTCAAAAATCAGGGTTTTCCAGATAAAAAATACAGGACCAAATTTTTCGAAAAATTGGCTCAAAATCTCCCAAAAATCCCATTTTTAGAGTGAAAATGCTCATTTTTTTGGTCGAAACCCCAGATTTTTCACCTCAAAACCCCCCAAAAATCCATATTTTCACCTCAAATCGCGATGTCCGATCTTCGTGCCGTCCTCCATTGTGTAGAGTGTCAATCCGCCTCGTTTCTCGCTCGTCACTACCGTATACTCCTTGCCTTGGCTCATCAGGATCTCACCAGGGTAGTACTTCTCGTCCACGAGATCCTCGATCTCATCCAGCAGATCGTCCTTGGAGAATGTGCCTGAAAATGGGAATTTTTGGCTCAAATTTGATTGAAAATTGCGTTTTTGGCGGTCAAAATGGGCTGAAATAGCTCAAAATCGACTTCTAGGTGAAATTTTGGCTGGAAATCCAGTCTTAAATCGCGTTTTTGGGTAAAAAAAATAGGGTAAAATAGCCCGAAAATCGCTGAAAATGGACTTTTTCGGCTGAAATCTGACTGAGAATTCCGAATTTTTGGGGTCACGATAGGGCTAGAATAGCTCAAAATCGATGATGTTGAGCTGAAAAATCCAATTTTCAAGTCTAAAATTGCCTTAAAATGACTGAAAATTGCGTTTTCGGGGTCAAAATTGACCTGGAATAGCTTAAAATCGATTATTCTGGGCTAAAAATTTCGACTTTCAAGACAAAAATCACCTGAAACGGGTCAAAAATCGCTGAAAATGGACTTTTTTGGCTGAAATTTGACTGAAAACTACGTTTTTTGGGGTCAAGATAGGGCTTTCAAGTCAAAAATTGCCTAAAAATGACTGAAAATGGTCCAAAATCTCAAAAATCGCTGTAAGTAAGCTTTGAGGTGAAATTTAGCTGAAAATGGCTGAATCCGCCCCCAGAATCACTTTTCAGCGTCAAAAACCTCGAAAATCGCCTAAAATTGCATGTTTTCATCCAAAAACGCAGGAAAATCGATAAATTCCCCTTGGGCACGGATGGGTGAACACCTTTTTCGGAAACTGAGCAAAAATGATCTCTAAACTTCGAAATTCGCGTTTCAAACGATTTTTAAGCTCAAAAATCGCATTTTTAGGGTCTAGAAAGTCCCAAAAATCGATTTTCAGAAAGGTTTGTCAGACAATTTTTCAGAAAAATCTGAAAAAGTTGATTTTTAGAGAAAAATCCTTACTATTGTGAATTTTGGTGTAGATTTCGATGGCCAATGGTCTCGGCAGACGAGTGGAAGCTGCTGGAATTTGATTTTTAGGAAATTTTTAGAAAAAAATGTTCAAAAAAATTTTTTTTTTAATTTTGAAAACTTACCATGTCCATTTTCCGGTTTTTCCATTTGTTCTGTGGCGTTTTCCAGCGAATTTGGCGATTTTATGAGCGATGAGCTGCAAAAAATTGGGTCAAAATCCGTTGAGAAATCGGCGAAAAAACAATATTTTTCGAATTTTCGCAATGGAGCGCGTTTGCTCCACCGCGCGAGCAGGCGGCCAGGGAAGGGTTATCTGGGCCGAAAATCATTGTCTTGGGGTAAAAATGGGGGTTAGAAATGAAAAAATCAAAGAAAACTGGGTCAGGAGACAGGGAAGTATAGCAAAAATCGATTTTTTAGAGGGAACATTTGAAAAAAAAGTTTATTCAAAAAAAATTGTTTAAAGGAAGATTTTCTTCTTACTCAGCAGCCGTCATCAATGATGTATTTCCAATGTCGCTTCCGAAGGATCGTTGGCTCATTCGAAATCGTTTTTTTCTGAGAAATCCGAACAATTTCCTTTTTTACAGAGTTTTTGAGATTTTCCAGCTGAAACTTAGCTATTTTTAGGTGAAAAAATGCGATAAAAATGCTCTAGACAACGAAAATCTTTGAAAATCCGAAGAAAACAGCGAAAATCGACGGAAATGCCGAATTCTGGGATGTCGAAATTCAAATTGAGTGGTTTCGCGCCTATTTCGGGCGGCTGCTAAACCGGGCGCACTAGGCGGGATGTGCGGAGTGTCGTAGTTTTTTTTTATTCCGAATTTTTTCGGCCGGATTTTGATGGTTTTTGGCGGAAAAAATCATAAAAATTAGCCGTAAAAATTTGAAAAATCATTAAAACTGATGAAAATATCTGAAAAGCAGAAAAACCAATTCAAAAAAAATCAAAAAATTACAGGAAGTCATTACTCAAAAAATAGTTGAAAATTAGGTAAAATTGGCTAAAAAGAAGCAGAAAAATCTTGGAAATGGCATAAAATAAGCTCAAAAATCCCAATAAAAATTTTAGAAAAACAAATAATTCAAAAAATTGAAATTTTTAATAAAAGGGCACCCAAGTCGCCAACTTTGAGCCCATATATCTTGGTCCCTGTGAAAGATATCAAAAAGTGGTCTACTAATAAAATATAGGTGATAAAATGATAAATATTTTATTAGTGGTCAACTTTTCGATATCTTTTACAGTAACCGAGATATAAGGCCTCAAAGTTAGAAATGTGATAATCAAATTATTTCCAGAGTTGCAGAGTTGCAGGTTGGGCGCCGAAAAATCGATATTGCTGAAAATTCTGAATTGGCTCCGCCCACTTTTCAGGGGATCCCATTCTTCTAGGTCACGACCTCAAAAATCTAGGTCGGTACCACAGACACCATACGGACCATAGATACCATAGGTACTCTAGATGCCATAGGTAGCATAGGTAAGATTGTTACCATAGGTATCATAAGAACCATTGGTACCATAGGTATCATAGGAACTATATGTACCATAGTTATCATAGATACCATAGATGCCAGAGATACCATAGTTACGCTAGGGCGCCATAGATACCATAGATACCATAAGTACCATAGGTACCATAGGTATCATATATACCATAGTTTTCATAGATAATATAGATGCCAGAGGTACCATAGGTTCTCTAGATGCCATAGGTAGCATAGGTAAGATTGGTACCATAGAGATACCATAGGTACAATAGGTGAGATTGTTACCATAGGTACCATAGATGACAGAGATACCATAGTTACGATAGGGCACCCTAGATACCATAGATACCATAAGTACCATAGGTACCATAGGTATCATAGAAACCATTGGTACCATAAATCCCATAGGTACCATGTGTACCATAGGTACCATATATCTAATGCGATAACCAATAAGATTCATTTCTTCAATTTTATTTTTCAAAACATTGTGTTTTCTCCAATAACAAAATTATAGGACTTGCAATAAAATGTGTGTTCATTTCAAAAAAAAAATCAACAAAACAAACAAATACAGTGATTAATAAACATAACGAATACAGTTTTTCCATTGCTCTCTAATGCCAAACAGCCATTACGAACCGTCCGAGACTGCAGCGAATCATTGCATTCACACCGTCCACGCGTTGGATACTGTAGCCACCATGAAATACAAATTCCCATCCATCACTGAAAAATACAACATGCTAAAAATAATTGCAATCAGTATTTTCAGAATGATACTGTTCAGAGTACTGTAGCTTGTCTACGAGCAAAGTTACAGGCAAAAACTCTTGACACTTTAGACGTGAGAGCTTCAAAAAGACGCCTAGTCGTGTTTATACTCATTTTGAAACTCAATACACTTAAAGGTGGGGGGACAGGAGATTTTTCGTAGTTTTTTGTAAATTTGATGAAAAAAGTAAACATACAAAGTGCGGCGAAACACTCTCTCTCTTCGTCGGTTAGCAAAACTTTCAAATCTTCATCAAACCATTTTTGAAATGTATGTTTCTCGAAGTTCAATTGTAACCACTCCAAACAAGTTGATCCACCGGCACGCCAGTGTCTTAAAAATGAACTCAAATCAGAGATGGAGAGTCTGGATCGTTCGATAAGAATATAGCAACAGTCGAAATTCATCAAGTTATCACAAGTGACCCAGTGTCCGTTGGAACGGATCCACAACTGTTTCATTGGTCCTAGTTCTCCATTGAATTTTAAATTGTTAGAGACATTGCCATCGATATTAAAGATGTGTGAAACACGTGTGTTTCTGTTGTAAACACTATTATCAGAGGTTTTCTTGGTATGCCGTACCTGAGCACATAATCTACCGTTTCGTCAGCGTTCGAATTATACTTGGGATTCTTTTGCCAGTCGAAACACTCCAGCATCTTCTCCTGTCGATTATTGATCCAATCGATTGCCCAAATTCCCTTTCAATCAGCTAGTAACTTGTGGACATTTAGGCCAAACAGTCCAGTGACAAAATCCACAATCATTTTTGACCCAAATACTTTATCTTTGAAATAAAGGACTGGATGTTTCGAGGAGGCAAACCCTGTTTTGCATCCATTTCTATATTTCAATTTGTATCCTTTCGAGCACTGAAATGGTGTTTTCATCGAGAACAGCAGAATGAGAGCTTCAAAATGACCCGAACCCAGAATTCCCACAATTGAAAATTGACAAATATACGCTTGTCTCATACTCATTATAAAGGGCTTATTAATCAAAATTCAAATCTGTTAAAATTTTTGAGTTTGCACCAAAACCAACTGAGATACGGGAGTTTCCGTCGTGGGACTTGAATTAGGGCGAAAATTTCAAAAATTCAATTTTAGGCTTGTTTATACTCATTTT